CGACAAGAAAGGAAAAATGACAGGAGTAAGTATAAACACCTCTCGCAGCCTTTAAGGGGTTTTGCTTTAATGGGGAGCAGAGATATAAGGCAGAGCTGGAGGGAATTACAGAGCCAAGGGTTTTGTTTTGTTTTTAAGATGGAAGATACTACAGCATATTTGTAAACCAGCAGAGAAGGGAATACTGTGACTGCAAGAAAGAGAGAGGGACTCTTTGGAAGAGAAAGTCCTTATGTATAAGAGAGGGAATGGGACCCAGGGCACTAGTGTTGGGTTCACCACAGGAGCAGAGACAGATCATTCAAGGGAAGAGAAAGGAAGGCCAGTTGGTAGGTTTGGTGAAGGGGCACCTAGAAGTTTCCCGATTGCTCTTATTTTTTCAATTAGAAAATTTCTCAGCAAGAGTGAGAAAGTGAAAAGAGGAAATGGAGTTCAAGAAGAGAGGAAAAGTTGTGAAAAAATCATCTGAAGGATCTAACAAATAAATCGACCAGGGAAATGTGGCAGAATGGCAGGGCATTGCCAAGGGTTCCCTGGGACTTGAGGTTATAGATTTAAAGCAAGACAAGTCTACATGACAATGCAGTTTTCTTCAGTTAGAGTCTATTATGCAAGTACAGAATGGTGGATTCGGGTTAATGGAGGTGAAATGTGAGGTTTAACATGGCTTGGGAAAGAAACATAAGCAAGGGAATTGAGAGAATCATTATAATGAGGAGACTTATACCCCAACTCAGTAAGAAAGGAAATAACGACACAAGGAATGATGATGGGAAATGAAAAGTGATTGGATCAAGAGATTTAAGGCCAGTTGTGGCCTCTCTACCACTTGGGGCCTCTGCACCTGTATATGTATGGCTTCTCTGTGTACCTGAGTGTGTGTGAAAGAATCGGATAAGGCCCTCCTGCATGGCTGCCTTAAGACAATGGCCCACATCACAAGGCAGCTGGGGATGCTCCGGTAGCAGTTGATTGTATGGCCATAGTCTGACGTGGTCTGGAATAGCTCAGAAATTACACCAAGCAGCTGCACAGGAAGTCCTTTCTGTATGTGAAGACAAGATGTTCCCTCCAGTTCCCCATAAAATTGATTACCCTTTGTAATCAATTTTACTGGGCCTTGCTCCTCCTGCCATTGTCACATAATTTCAATCATGCTTGTTTATTACTGCTAATAAAAAGCAAGAGAGCTTCTTATTGAGCAGCAGAGTCTTGCCTTGCAAACCTGCCCCATTACTGGTCCCTCAGCATATCCCCAGGGAAGTGCTGGCGCATTCGCGACCCAACAGAGTTGGCACCTGAACAGGGACATGAAACAGGAAACAAGGACTTAAAATAGACACCAGGGACACGTCAGCCATTCCTCAAGCCCAGTGAAGGGGATAGGACGTCCGAATCAGCTACACAGTAGACCCACAGACCTCTAAGTCTGCAACGGAACGGTAAGTGAAGAGCTTCTCTTTCACGAGTCATGGAGCAGGTTTGCAAGGCAAGACTCTGCTGCTCAGTGAGCAGCCCTCTTGCTTTTTTATTTTTTTTTTAAAGATTTACTTACTCACATAAGAGTTGGGTGCAGACCAGAGGTGCAAGGGGTGAGAGGATTCACCAGAGACAGAGTGGGAAGCAGAACTGGCAGATCTACTGAAATACACTGCTGAGGGGAGCAGCGGGCAAGAGAGGAGAGGTTTGCTGTGCCATGTGGCCAGGAATCGAACTCGTGCTGCAGTGGCTGGCCATAGCTTCATAGTGCTGAGACTTAACCCCTTGTGCCACCAGGGAGGCCTCCCTCTTGCTATTTATTAGTAGTAACAAACAAGCATGATTAATTATGTGACAATAACAGGAGAAGCAAGGCCCAGGGGAGACAAAGGGTAATCAACTTTATGGGGAACTGGAGGGGACATGCCGGCCACGTATACAGGGAGGACTTCCCATGCAGGTACTTGGTGTAATTTCTGAGCTACTCCCAGACCTCAGACTATGGCCACACAATCAGTCAACAGCTACCTGGGCATCCCCAGCTGCCTTGTGATGTGGGCCATTGTCTTTAGGCAGTAATGCAGGAAGGCCTTATCCAATTCTTTTATGCACACACAGGTACTTAAGAGAGGCCGTACACACACAGGTGCAGAGGCCCCAGGTGGTTCAGAGGCCACAGCCACTGGAGTCAAGGAAATGCTGGAGCAGAGGACTAGGTAAAGGAACAGACCTGGAATGCCAGGAGGTGGCAGACAGGGAGAGGGAAGCTTAACATTGAGGTTTTTAGAAGTGGTGCATATTTTGGTTATGACAAGGTGTGACGCATGAACAGAGGAATGGGGTGCTGATACACGAGGACAGAATGTTTGGAAGGGAGGAGCTGAATAAACTAAAAGGACCAGGTGTTGGATGAGTTGTCCATGCAGAAACTAAGGATATGACAGAAGTGGTGGGGATGAGAAGAAAATCAGTAAGACAGGAGCTGAATGAAGAACCATAAGAAATGGAGTAAGATGGGTGACCAGGGCTACATGAGCTTTCAAGGAGCTTAGCATCCTAAGAAGAAGAAACAACTCAGATCTGGAAGCAGTCATGAAAAGCAAAGAGGTCAAATCAGACCACCCCAAGATTCCCAGAGTTGGTCTCCTCAGGACCCTGCCCTGGCAAGCAGTTTATTTTGAGTAGAGAACAAGGAAGACTCTGGAAGCTAAGGAGAAGCTCTTGCCTTTGCCCTAGTCCCTTTGCCCTACCCTTAATCGAAGAAGGGATCACTGTTTCCTAACTAAACCTTTTCCCCAGCCCTAATCAAAGAATAGATCACAGCTCTAATCACTCAGAAGAATGCAGTTTGGAAGCTATCAGCCAGATGGAGGTTTATCAGTAAACATGTCCTTTCTAAAAAACACATATTTCCTTTTAGAGAAAAAACGAAGTCATTCCCTCCTTGTCACATGAAGTCCCTGACTCTGCTCCGAGTCCCAGGCCCCCATCTCATCCATGGTTTAGGATTCAAATCCTTTTCATTCCAACTGAAAGAGATCTGTATGCTTACTGTCACTCCCCCGTACACACGCCATTAAGTTGATTTTTCCTTTGCTGACCTGCCCGATGCCCAAGAAGAATCTGGAGGGACAGGGAATTTTCTCCTGCACTGGACACCAGTCACTCGACAAAGCTACAGGGAAGTTTATTTTCAGGGAAGAGCCTGAGATTCCTCGAGAAGAGGAAAGGAGGATCTGAGGATTTCACAGATTTCACAGATGACAGACTATTAGTTTCAAAGAATCATTTATGTTTTTTTTTTTACCAAAAACATCCATATTCACTTGCTTTTATGTGCCTGTAAATTTTCAGAAAGGATGAAAAAAAGCAGTTAGCCTAGGATGACATTCCAACCCAAGAGTGGGTGAAATTTAATTTTTACCAGGAGAGAAGGAATGACCTTGTCAGGTGCTTTATTGAGATGATTCCCAAAGGGGGATGCCCCTCTACACTGAGATTCTAGGACTCATGAATTCGTCAGTGTCTAATTTTTGACAAACCCCTTCTCATAGATGGGCCTCAGTTTCCATACATGTGAAGTGAGAAGTTTGGACTGTGTTTTTTCTTGCCCTCCTTCTAGTTCTGAGAGTCTATGAACCTCCAGCAAGTCAGATCTGGGTCCAGCCCCCTGTATTAGGGAAATAAGGCCAGAGAAGCACCGGAATAGACAAAAGAACCCAATAGCATCATTTGATGAGAGCACAAAGCCCAATAATTCACAATGCTGTAGGGTTTTTCTTATGTAGTAACATGCACACCCACAATCTCTCTCTCTCTCTCTCTCTCTCTCTCTCTCTCTCTCTCTCTCTCTCTCTCTCTCTCTCTCTCTCTCTCTCTTTCTCTTTGACCCCCTCCCCTCCACCCCGCCTGCAGGCTAGAACATGAGGACCATTTACATGCAGTCACCTATAGCTTCTCCACAACACCCCTAAGGTCACATTAGCATTAGCACGTTCAGCAATCTCACCTGTTTAAAAAAAAAGAAACAACAGGCTCAAAATGGAGTCATTCATGCTAAGACTTAATACCTAACCTAGCTGCCATTTTAGTCTCTCCCAAAAGTGGAAATTTAAATCCATCTATCTGGGGTTTCCAGGTCAGCACTACTCAGGTAATCCGCATAAAGGGCCCCACCTTCCCCTAATGGGAGGTGGCCTTGTCTGAAGTAAACCTTTTCTTTTGCAAAATGTCCTGGCCTCTTCTAACTATAAAACCTTAATTTGGGGCCTCCCGGTGGTGCAAGGGGAGCAAGTCACAGCCTCTGCAGCACAAGTTGGATCCCCCGCCGGCCAGGGAGCAACCCACAGAGGTCTGGCGCAGCAGACCTCTCCTGTCTCCCCTGCTCCCTTCAGCAGTGTATTTCAGTCAGTCTGCCTGTTCTGTTCTCCACTACATCTCTGGTGAATCCTCTCACATCCCACCCCTCCCCTGTTTCTGGCCTGTACCCCAGCTCTTATACGCATAAATAAATAAATCTTTTTTTAAAAAAAAACCTTCATTCATACAACTTGCCACACCCTTCTGTTTGCTGTTTGCTAGTTGGGGTACTGCCCAATTAGATCTTTAAATTTACTCGGTTGGTGGCGGGGGGGGGGGGGGGGGGGGGCTCCCTGGCTGCACAGGGGTTAAAGTCTCAGCGCTATCAAGCTACCAGCCAGTGAGTTCCATCCAGGCCAGGGAGTCACATGGCACAGCAGACGTGTCTCACCCGCTGCTCCCCTCAGCAGTGTATTTCAGTCAATCTGCCTGTTCTGCTCTCCACTCTGTCTCTGGTGAATCCTCTCACCTCCCACACCTCTGGCCTACACCTCAGCTCTTATATGCATAAATAGAGAAAAAAATATAAATAAACTTGGTTGGGGGTGGGAGAGTGATTAATTAAATTAACTTTGTTAGATTTTTGTTATTTAATACATCTCACATCTACAGTGTCCTACAGCCGGTGCCTTAAAAACCTCAATTGACAGATGCCCACCTACCTTGAGCAGGTGAGGCAGCTGCTGAGTGACCAGTTCCTTAAACTCATTGATGCTGAGGCTGCCCTTGCGGCCCTCCCGCCCTGCAAAGGTGAAGAAGGTGGTCACCACAGTCTCGATGGCTGCCTCCAGCTCAGTCAGTGGCTCAGCAGCCATTGGGACCCTGGAGCAGAAGTCCTCACAGAGCTGACCTGAGGGAGGGAGAAGTTGAGAGGGAGCATCAGGACTGGGCAGAGCAACTCTGCCTGGGCTTTGCCACCTGCCTGGAGAGGCATTATGGAAAAAGAGAGAGGAGAGCTGGATGGAGCTTGGGGCAGGGGACCCAAGTCCCAAGTCTGTGAAGGTAGGAAAAAGGGTGTTCAGTTCCAAACCTCTTCTTCTGGAGGTCTCACAGTACAGGGCTCCTTATAAAGTGTCTGCATCTTGGGGATCCCTCTCTGGTGGTCCTTCAATCCCAGAGTCCCCTCTCTCTGGGAGGTAGCTTTCAGCCTGAGTTCTTTGGAGTCCTCAGTCTAGGGGACCCTCTGTAGGGTGTCAGCCTCCAGGGCCCTTTCCTGGAGTCTAACCCAGTCCAAAGGGTCATGAGGTTGTTTATCTCCAAAGTTTTGTTTTTGTTTGGACTTGGGTCTCCACCCTGTGGCACTAGGCCTACACTCACTGACCGCTCTTCCCAGCAATAAGCCAGGGCTCTGGCAAAAGCCCAGCTGCGGTCAGGGCTGTCTCCGTCTGGACAGACTCGGCTTCGCTGTCACCCACTCCCACCACTCCTCAGGGGCAGCTGGTCAGTGGGCTGCGCCCCGCGGGCCTTCCCCACCCCTCCTGCCGGCCACCGGGTGCTGAATGGGACTGTGCAAGTCCGGCACCAAGGAAGGGCTTTGGCACCAAGGAAGGGCTTTGGTACCAGCACAGCCGGCCCGGGGGGAGAAGGGGCGGGGAGCAGCTGGAGGCTGGGACCGGCCCTCTGCGCCCTTTCGCCATCCCCTCTCCCCCGCCCCCGTGTCCCGGGGGCTGCTGCTCCGTTTCCCAAAGTCACTTCCTGGATCCCAGAGTGAGCAGGCTCGGGGGAGGGACCCGGGAGCCCCGGCAGGATAAAGGCTGCCAGACTCCCTCCCGGGTTGGGGGGTTGCGACTCACCGGGGCTAGGAGGTGGGCTGCAGCCTGCAGGCGCCTCAGGGGCTGAGGTTTATAAGCGCCCCAGGAGGTAGGAAAGAGCCCTCCCTTACCCGGAGGAGTCAAGTTTCCCGTAGATTCCGGAGAACCCCGCCCAATCACATCTTTCGCCCCCTCCCTTTTCTCCCTCCCCTCCAGCAAGCGGGCCAGGAACCCTGCTCCCCAACCCAGCCCACTGGCGCCCCCACTTGGTGGGGGGCATAAATTTTCCGAAGTTGCTTGGACAGATCTCTCACGGGGTCCTAGAACATCACCCCTCCCAATTCAGGTCTGCTGCCCACCACACCCCCAGTACAGCAGATTGAAAGAACTGAGGCAGTTCAGCCCTGAGGATGGCTCTAAGAAACACCAGAGTGCCCCTCTGTGAAATTCTGGAAAAGACCTTGTAGACCACCATCCCCTCAGAGGATTCAGGACTGAAACCTCCGCACAGGGTTGGGGGGGTGAGGGGGGCCCTCCTGGGGGGTGGGCCCTCCCTGGGGGGGTCTCCCTGGTGGCGCAAGGGGTTAAAATGCAGCACTACTAGGCTATTCACAGCCACTGCTGCACGAGCTAGATCCCCAGCCAGGGAGGTGCCCACATGGCACAGCAGACCTCTCCTGTCTTGCCCGCTGCTCCCCTCAGCAGTGTATTTCAGTAGATCTGCCTGTTCTGCTCCCCACTCTGTCTCTGGTGAATCCCCTCACGCCCCCCAATCTCTGGCCTATACCCCAGCTCTTGTATGCATAAATAAATAAATACTGACAGAGAGAGAGAGAGAGAGAGAGAGAGAGAGAGAGAGAGAGAGAGAGAGAGAAGGAAAGATCCACAGGAAAGGAATGCACACTGAGACCCCCATAGAGGTGAAAGCTTTTAGTGAAGTGTCAGGCTGAACCCCCTCAGGGGAGATCCAAGACTAAATTATTCACTGAGGGTTCCCCCCATTGAGGCCAAGTAAAGGAGCCTGGGCTGAGCCCCTCAGTAGCATCTTTCCCCTTCCTTGGCTGGCTGCTGGACAGTGCAGGGCAGAAGGGCAGGAGGCTCTCAGCATTTCTCCCAGGACCTTTCCCACCTTCCTTGCTGGGCGTGGGGGGCAGTCGTGGGGGAGGGAGCCAACTGAGGCTGGAGGACACAGGGCGGCCTGTTCTAGCCCAGGAGACAGAGGGCGCCTCTGTCCACTCCTGGCCCCTTGCCCCACTGGCTGTATGTCTGTGAAGGGGTGGAGCCGGTGCGGAGGTGGGGTTGCAGGGAAAAGACACTAAAGACAGGTCTCCCTACACAGCTGGTAGCCACATTTGCAGCCTGTCGGTCTGTCCGGAAACCTCTCCATCTTCAAGCTGAAGCTAACAGTGAGTATTCCGCTGACCCAGTCAGCTTGGGAGAACTTCAGAGGGGCTCCGAGAGTCTGGAGATGATAGCATTATAATTCATTAAGGGTCTGGGAAGAGTTGAAGAAGACAGGGTTTGGAAGGTGATAAGGAGAAGCCAGTGAAGGTCTGAGAGAGCTGGAGTCAGTGGATGAGGAAACCAGTAGGGAACCCAACCAGCAAGCTTCCAGGATACCAGCCCCCACCACAGACGGTCAAGTGCCCCCCAAGTCTCCCTCAATACCCCAGGTGCCAAGGAGGGAATCCAGCTCTTGCTTGCTTTCCATGGGGTAAGAATAAGAAAGCAAGTAGAACAGCTGCTTCTCCCTGGCCCCTTCCAGCCTACTTTCTGCCAGCCCCATGAAGTCTTGCCAAGAGCTCAGGTCCCAGGGAAGTCTGCTACCCAGGGAGTAGCAGAGCATGGACCATGAGCTATCAGGAAGGGGCACTGGGGTACTCAACCTAATTCCAACTCTCCCTTAACATGACTTATGCTTTCTCCTCTCCTCTTTCTTGGTACAGACCTCCAGATCCCTCTTCCCCCCAATTATTTTCTTTTTGTTTTTCCATCTGCTCCCTCCCTGCCAAGATCCTTTCAGAACTGCCCCCTACATAAAATTCCAGACTACCTCCAGGTGCCCCTGATGGGTGAGGCCCATAACCCATCCACCAGCACCCCTCCCTCACATACCCTCTTATCCCCTCCATCAGCCCCAGCTTGGGTTCCAGCTCCTCCATGTCTCTGTGACAAGTGCTTCTCATGTCCGGAGTTCAGGTGACACTCACAAGGGCCCATTGAAGAGTGGGGTGTCATTCGATCAGCGCCCATTGTCCAGCTCTCAGGCCTGGGGAAAGATGGGGACACCTGATCTGAGACACCTGAGCTGCCCCCGATGCTACGGAGTTGACTGTCCCAGGGCTGAAGGAAACAGTCCCCTGGCTTGACATACCTCTCTCAACAGACCCCTCTATTTTTCCCCTCTCCCCCAGCCCCCTGAATTCAGATGGCCTTATGTGTTCATCCCTTTATCTTCCCGAACATATACCGTGACCATCCACGCATCAGTCAGGTAGAGCCTGGGGACAGGAGTGCACAGCAGTGGAGACAAGTACTCACAGGGCCCTTGCCCTCCATAGGAGTCCTGGATCCAGGGAAAAGGTGGAAACATTCCTCTCCCTTCCCACCCCCACCATGGAAGGTCTGATTATGCATAGTAAGAGGAACCAAATTAGAGACACACCCCCAGAGAAACCAAAGTGACATGTTCAGGAAAGAACAGTTAAAAGACCAAAAGAGACCCCAGTCTGTTGATAGGAAGTTCGGAGGCAGTGAAAAATCCCCCTCCCCATGAAGCCACCTTGTCCTTAGACTGCCAAAGAACAAGGACAGCTCCTTGCTGGAACAGGGTCAAGACCATAGAGGGGAACCCAGCCCACCATCTCCAGAGCAGAGGTTGGCTGTGCTAGACGGGCAAGGTCCAGGATAAAAATGGAGAGAAGAAATCTGCTCAGGTCTTGTGACCACTCCACCTGTGGGCCTCACACTCCTCAGTGTCTGCCCAAGCAGCCAAGAGTCACTGCAGAGTCCACTGTGGGCCTCCAGAGCCAACCCAGCTGCAGCTACCTCATCTCCACGTGCCCAACTCTGACTCCCTCTGGCTGGGGTATGGATTAAGGAACACAGGAACAGATCTAGATTTACGTCTGTTTGAGCACCCCGGAATGTAAAATCGTAGGGACAGATAAGTTACAATAAAACTCTGATCTCATAGCTATTCAGGCTATGGAATCAGGATTAGGTTTGAGGGTTCCCCTCACCCCAACCCCGGATACCCTGAGCATGGTTCCCAGCTCACTCCTCTCGTGGGGTGGGTAGGTGAGCTGCACAATGAGCTCTGAACTGGAGACAGCGATGGAGACTCTCATCAATGTGTTCCATACCCACTCGGGCAAGGAGGGAGACAAATACAAGCTGAGCAAGAAGGAGCTCAAAGAGCTGCTGCAGACTGAACTTGCTGGCTTCCTGGATGTGAGTACAGTGGGAGTAATAGGGTGCCTTGGGAGAGGGGCAGGGAAACAGAGTAGGCGCCTCCCTGTCATCTCCCTCCTCTGAGTTTTTCTAAGCTTCCTACTCCTCCTGGTTCAAGTCAAAATGTCCCGACTGCCTGTCAGTAATAGGTCCTGTACAGAAGCATCAATAACAAGGCTCACAGTCTAGAAGGGAAAAACTGACACTGAACGCAAAGCAAGAACACCAGGAAGTACTCAGAACCTAACAGAAGTGACAAAAAGAATAATGAGACTATTAACCTGACTGAAGTGGTCTTTGGCTTCTCCAAAGAACCATGGATTTCCACTGGAAGATTATTAAGATACAGAGATCTCTTAAGATCTCTACATGAACAAAAGCATGGGAGAAAAACAACAATGAAACATGCTCAGTAGTTTTTATTGGAGCCAAGGATGCAAAAAAGTAGGCTATAGAAGCCAGTAGAAAGGATACCAGCTTTGGGGTTTTATTGGACCTGGGTTCAAATTCTGACTCTGCCACTTTCTAGCAGTGTGACTTTTGAGTCTGTTATTTAACCACTAGTTGCCAATCTATTTCTTCTTTGGAATGACAATAATGAAACCTACCTTATACCATTTGTTAGAATTAAATTAGAAATCCTTGTAAAATTTCTAGAGTAGTGCATGTCACATTGAGGATTTGTTATTAGTACTCTGCTTGTTAAGGAGTTCACTCTGCAGGTAATAGGAGGCGACAAGTATTTGTTAATTTTGAGGAGGGCAGCCAGATGAGGCTGGTAATTAGATATTTTTCTCTCTCTTGCACGTCTTTGCCTCCTTCTCCCTAATCAACCATCCTTCTTGACCAGCTCAGTGCTACATGTCTCCCTGCAATCAATCTCTCTCCCTCTACAGGGTCAAAAGGATTCCGAAACTGTGGAAAAGCTGATGAAGGAGCTAGATGAGAATGGAGACGGGGAAGTGGACTTCCAGGAGTATGTGGTGCTGATAGCTGCCCTCACGGTGGCCTGTAACAGCTTCTTCTGGGAGAGTTGAACAGACAACTCCAATGGGCAGCGCCCTTCCCCTCCATCCCATCAGACCTACCTGTTTGCCCTGCTTCCCCCCCACGCTACTTTTACTTTCCACACTCCCAGCCTTGCCCATCCGCTAGCAAGGGCGCAAAAATATGAAGGCCTGCTACTCCACTTTCATTAAAGGCTCTTCTCTCGCCAGTAGCTGGCTGTTTCCTTTGGGTCTGGCAGTGGTGGTGAAGGCTGTTCACTCCCAACTTGCCTTATTTGAGGAGAAATCTTATTTGGTCATAAGTGAAGAGACCATAATATCTTCAGGAAGGGGTTAGATGGGCCAGCTTGAAGTGGAGGAGAACAGTTCTCAGCTCTAAAGCCAGAGGAATTTCCCTTCAACCTTTAAGGAATATTTACTGAGGGCCTACCATGGGCTAGACTGGGGCTACAGCAGTGAACAAAACAAACACGACCCTTTTCCTCACATAGGTAAAATCTGGTAAGGATGTCAGACCACTAAATACACCCCACATACATACAAATGCTAGGGGTGAAATAAAAGGAGCCTGGTGGGTATGGGTGGGAGTTGGGGGGAAGGGCTGCAGGTGTATTTAATCACTTGTTCTGATCTCCAAGGCCCGCCTCAGTTTCCCTCAGCCAATAAAGAGAAACAAGAGTTTGAGGAGACGGAAAGTAATTTAATTTGTTGACAAACTGAGGAGGGCAGCAGATTCGTGCAACCGTCCTGCTCTTTGGCAGAGTGCAAGGTTATTTATACAAAGAGGGAAAAAAAGGAAGATGGGCAAGGGTCTGCAAAGGCGGGGCGGGGAAGGGTCAGCAAGTCCTTTTGACGCGGGAAAAGGAGATATCTGAGATTTCAGGTGGGGGAAATCTTGCTTTGTCAACAACTGCTGTTTATCTCCCTTTTCCTTGGAATGCACGGAGGCAAACCTGTGGAATGCATCAGATAGGAATGCTCATCTGATGGGGCAGGAAGAGAGACCTGCTCAGTTTTATTGCATCAGTTCCTCAAATATGTGAGCACTTCATTGTGAACCCAGCGAGCTCTCCTGTTGAACTGTCTAAATCCATATAAACGGCAGATGGGGAGCAGGGCGCAAAAGGTCCCCCAAATTAGGATTTAACAATATTCGGGGCAAGGTGGGGAGGAGGGCAAGCGAAGAGGAAAATACGAACGGGCAGAGGGTGACCGGCGCAGGAGCGAGTCCAGGTGTGCTCCCAGCTCCGGTCCCCAAGTCTTGGCGGGGCGTTTATCGCACTCCACAACTGAACAGGACGAACGATTGTCAGGGGAGAGCCAGTGCAAATCACCCCAGGCCCGGTGTCCGCAAGAGAGACCGGGCGGGGAGGTGACGGCGCGAGGAAATACGGACATCTTTTTCATTGGTACCGAACCGGCTGAGCAGTCCAGACGACAAACAAACGCGCCCAGAACGTGCAGCTCCCACGAGTTCCAAACGCGCGGCCACTGGCCACACCCCTTCGCCCCGCAGCGCAATTCAGATAGGGCCTTGGCTGAAGCCCCGCCTCCTCCCTAAGGCTCCGCCCCGTCCCTGCGCGGGCGCAGCTCAAATCTTCAAAAATCTAATATGCGTATCTGACGTCTGACGTATATCACGTCGACGCCATTTTAGCCGGTCCCACTCCTCACTGGGCGTGGCGGCCATTTTGTTTTGGACGCCGAGCGGGAGTTGGCGGCAGCGGCTGTGGAGGCACGGACGGCAGGCAGGAAAGGGCAGGCCGGGCGAGCGGGCGGGCCGACTGACCAGAGAGCTAGCCGAGCGACTACGAACTAAGCAGGCATTCTACCGCTTACACTTCTAACCAACCGCCCACCAAGTTAACCCGAGGCCCTCCACCGTCGATTCAGGTTCGGCCGGCCCCCGGCCCGCCAGCCGCAGCCGTGGTGGCAGCCCCGGGAGGAGCACTGGCGTCCGTTTCCTTCGGTACGTTTCTGTGACGAGAAGGATGGGGAGAGCATTGGGGGAGTGGAAGGGGTCGACGGACGCCGAACGGAAGGTCTGGGTTGTGGAGGCAGATGGGGTGTTGAGTGTGGAGGCCCCGGGGAGGGGGCGGAGCCCCTGAGGAAAGCGGGTTGGGGGAGGGAGCGATGGAAAAGGTTGATAGGGGTGAAATGGTAAATTGTTGGGCGGCTTGAACTAAACTGCGCTCTCGGCGGGGCTCTGAGGCGGGAGGGAGATGAAAGATGGACCGCAGAACTTTGGGAAGCGTTGGAAAGTAATGGCGACTGGAGGGTTAAATTGTGTGGCGTGCTTTCTGAGAGCTCGTTCCCAGGTGAATACCTCTTAGGAAAACATTTCCAGCTTTCTCCCCCCAAGTGCCCAGTCCCTTGCTAGTGTCCCTCCTTGATTTTTGCAGTCCACAGCCAATTTTGAAACTAGGTATGCCTCAATCAACACCAGGTCAAAAGGGTTCTCGATTCCGGCTGCATATTAGAAACCCTTGTTTTGTTCCAATTACTGACTATCAGACGTTACACCAGAGATTGTGGCTTAATTGGTCTGGACCATGCTTCGGTGTTTTTTGAAAAATACTTTGGGTAAGTCATGCAGATTTAGGACTCCTCTAGATTAAAAGTCAAGCTCTTAGACTTCCTTAACGAGATCTAGGTCTGCCATGTTGGAGGATTTGGCAAGTATTTTCTGATCTGTGGCCTTGAAGTTTGTAAGTTTGAGGTAACTCTTAAATTTAAGTCCTGAAAATAATGGAATCTTCACTGGTCAGTGAAGCAAGCCTTTTAATTTGTTGTTGACTTAGGCCTTTGACCCTTGTAGAAGTGAGGTGGTAGTTGTTCTGATGTATTCATTCTGCCTATTGTCCTTTGTAGATTCTCGGGATTTGAAGATGGCTGCACAGTCAGCACCGAAAGTTGTGCTAAAGAGCACCACCAAGATGTCTCTAAATGAGCGGTGAGGCAGCCAACAGCAACTTCAGCTCATTCATAAGAAAACATTACTTAAATTGGCCCTGGGGTCCAATGCACAAAAACCAGTTTTAAGCTAAGTACCAACAGAAGGCTACAGACCTCTGTTCTTAGTTGCATCTTATGTGGTACACAAAACAAATTGGGCGGTTGTTTCAAAACCCCTTAACAGTAGATTTTTATGTTAAACTGTCTGAAATGTTTATCTGGTGGGATGTATTTTAAAAAGACTCCTCACACCCTCCCTTTTTCCTCATTTTTTTTTTTTTATATTGATACAGGGGTGGTGCAGCTCAGTAGCATGTTACCCTGGCTGCAGTAGGCTTGCTGCCTAGTCCAAGACCAGCAGTGTTGTGTCTGGCCTGTAAGAGGCAGGTAGCAAGCTATGATTATGTCCAAAGGCCCTTGAACGTCGTTCTTGGGCCTTGTAAGAGGCACTTGCTTTGCTCCATTTCACTTTCTTTCCATTCTGCTTCTAGTTTGTTTCTGTTTTGAAATTCTTTTACCGTTAAATGTTGCTCTATTCCATCTAATAAACTTAGCTTGACAGGAATTATAGAACTGGCACTTCCCAAGCTCTTTAATGGTAAAACTAACTTTTTTCAGAAGTAATCACTTGGAGTCAGAAATAATCATGTGAGACTATGACACTAAGAAAAGTTAAGCCACTTAAAGGCAGTTTCTGTCTCTAATCTTTATTATTCACTGAGTGCCTTGGACCTAGTTTATTGTCATTAGACCACTAAGAGATTTATGTACTGTTTATTGCCTTTTTGAAGCAGTGTGCTTCTCCATGTCTCTTAGGGTATGATGTACTAATTATTCATAGTTACATGTTACTGGGTAAAATGTAATATACTGCTATAATTTATGTGGATGTATTCTTTCCATGGTCTTTGAAGGTGCTCTTTGTCTTCCTTGTATCTGCCCTTACACTGCACTCACAGGTTTCCCCAAGGTTTCAGCTTTCTTCGTCTGTCTTTGAAACTACATCTTCTGTCTCTTGCTGTCATCGTATCTGCTTATTGCGTGTTTTTCATGCCTTTCACCTCTCTTAAAGGCGTTACCTGAGCCCTTGTTATCACTTTTGATTGAATGTGCTGCACTTAGCTGCATTTCTCAGTTTCTGATTCTTGCAAATTTGTGGAAGCAGAGGAGTCTTTAACCCACATCAACCTTGATCTAAGTGTACCACTTTACTTAAAGTTCGTGGGATCTGGAGCTCCTGGTCTAGCAAGCCATGAAAATGCCAATAAATGTTTTGTAATAAAGCTTTTATTTAAACATCCATTTTGTTCGACCTTGAAGCTTTACTAATATGCTGAAGAACAAACAGCCGATGCCAGTGAATATTCGGGCTTCGATGCAGCAACAACAGCAGCTAGCCAGTGCCAGAAACAGAAGACTGGCCCAGCAGATGGAGAATAGACCCTCTGTCCAGGCAGCATTAAAACTTAAGCAGGTGAGAGAATGGGTGTTAATGCTCCAGAAGCAGCTGGTGATCTCTGTCAGGCAATCCACTGAGGCTTTCGGGACGTGATGGATGATTACAAGGTGATTCAGGGCAAAAGCTGAAACTTTTCTGGAAGAAAGGGTACCAATAAGTAATTTTGTTGTCTTTCTCTTTTAGGGAGTTTGCCATCCATGTGGTCTGGTTCTGTGTTATCAATGAGTATTAACCTCTTTTATTTTCTGATCCCTTGCCCTTAAAGTAGACTCATTGACTTTCCACCCAAGAATTTTTGGTTTCTCTTTTAGAGGATTCACCCAAAAACCCTTTATTCCCTGCTAAATGGCTTACAAATTAGGGAGATAATTTTATTCTGTCTCCTCTAAGAGTCTGAATAGTTTTAGTCATACTTTTGTTCAACAGTTCCCTGCTAAAATGTAGAAAGAGTAGGGTGACCCTCATCTCCACAGCACCTAAAGTTTTGTCAGTATAGCAAGAGCTTTAGTTAGAAGTTAGTGGGTTTTCTTTCAAATGTCCAGCAAGAGATAATCCTATTCAGACCTGAAATAAAACCTGCTCTTTATTATTCATAGACTTTATATGCAAGTCCGGACAATGGCTGTGGAAGGATATGTCCAAGCTGTGGCTGGGCGTCTGGAGGGCGGTCCCATGCGACTGTAAGGACTTTAACTGATAGCACTGCATGGCTGTGCATAAATTCAGCAGTTAAATATAACACCCTCCCACCCCCACCCTGAACCATTGGGCTCACTGACCAAAAATAAACAGGACCTTCTGCTTCAGCTACCTTAAACCTTGGAGTGACTGGATTTGTCCCTGGCTCAAGAAAGCAGTAAAAGCACCATTTTCAAAGAGTGAATTAAAAAAAAACTAAGGATATCTTTTTTTCTTTTCACAAGAAGCTTTAAATATAAGCTGTGCCAAAAGTAGCCTCTAGAGAAGCACTGTCCAGTACAATTTTACACAGTGATGGAAGTGCTCTGTAACCGCTCTCCAAATAGTGTCTGTACCCTAGACACTAGTCATATGTGACTATTGAGCACTCAGAATGTGGATAGTACAATTGAGAAGCTTAATTTTGCTTTTAATTTAAATAGTCACATGTGTTTAGTGGCTATTTTAACATACAGCACAGCTCTAGATTGGGAACTGGATGCTATAATTGACATCCTTAAGCTTCCTGTCAGTTACCAATATTGACTGCAGGTAAGGATTGAGAAGGAAAATGAACTGTGCACTGTTCATTCTCCCCTCAAAGCACAGAGAATATACTTGGCATAACTGAACACAAGGAACTTAAAGTGAGGTCTTGGCCTCATAATTGTGTGCTCTCAATTAGGAAGTGATACAACAAGCTTTTATGGTTGGTTATACCTGTTCACGTTAGGTGCATAATGTTCAGAGCCTGGCCATCTGGTTAGAAGCAACTTGTGATCATGTTCTAGAAAGCTAATATTAATAACTGGCATCAGATGACTGCCCAAAGGGGGGGCAAATCGTTGAATCCCAAGGATGAGTAGAATTTATTTTCACTCGTGTCAGTAGTTGACTTTATAGGAAAACAGCTGTGCTTGTGTGTTGGCCAGCACATGGTCACCTTTTCCCATGAAGGAATTTACAGTGTCATCATTATAGTTTCTCTTTGAGGGCCAGATTATAGAACAATCTCTTCTCTCTGGTATGTTCTTGTCCTCAAGTGTGGCCCTACTTTTGTGATTATAGCTCACTTGTCTTAATCCTAATGTAAATTTGGTGGGCTTTCTCTGGAGATACATTTTGTGAGATATATGTTTACTTTGAGTTAAGGGTCATTATTATATTGATTTGTTTGCAAGGATAGACAGAATGATGGGTATTTAAGAAATGTAAGAAAAGGAAGTTTTGACTTTTTTGTGTTTATTTACCTCTAAAGGTAAAAAGTGGACCGTCTGGAGATAGATACTCAGAGGAAAAATGGAAAACACTGACTTCTTTGAGAAATCAAATCTTATTCTTAAAGTCACAAGAACACAAATGAACTTGTAATTTAAATTTTGCTCAGAGTGTGATGAACTTCCTATGGTGTTTGAGTAAGACTTTGAAGACAGTGGTAGTCCTTGGGCAGGTATGAATTAAGTCCTATCATTGTCAACCTGTTGTTCGAAAACAGCAGAATCCAGAATTTGAACTATACCATGTCCTTACTAAAAGTTAACTGCCAAGTAGTAACTTTATCACACGTGTCAACAAACTAGTGAGGTCATTTGTGGTGATGCCAATTTCATAGGAGGATACTCGAGCTTCTGGTCAGAATTCTGTGTCTTTTATGCCATGTTTTGAGGCAAAGGCTTGCTTCTGGTTTTAGATCCTTTATGGACCCCCACAGCAGATTTATCTCCCTCTACACAGACATCTCACTTGCTGCTTTTTCTCTGCACTTTGAGTTGCCAAATTTCCACTGGATTGCTTTTTTGATCTCAATTCCCCAACACCTTTTCTTCCAGAAGAGCTTAAAGCAGCGCCTGGGTAAAAGTAACATACAGGCACGGTTAGGCCGACCCATAGGGACCCTGGCGCGGGGAGCAATCGGAGGACGAGGCCTGCCCATAATCCAGAGAGGCTTGCCCAGAGGAGGACTACGTGGGGGACGTGCCACGAGAACCCTGCTTAGGGGCGGGATGTCGCTCCGAGGTCAGTGCTGTGTACCTCATAGTTGTTGAGCCCTACCCCCTTCCCTTTTCTCTTGGGCTGCTTATGGACACATTTGTTTAACATCTTTAAGCCTGAATTTGTATTAATATAATTAATAACTTTGAAATCACATTTTTAATAGTGCTGCATGTCTTTTACCGATACCATTCCTTTTCTGATAATGTGCAATGGTGAGAGGCTTATGATCTGCATAACAACAGGTAATTCATGTCATCTCCATTCCATTTTAAAACACCCTGCTGCTGCTTGAATCAAAGCACATTCAAGTTCTAGAAATAAGTCAAATCTAAGAAATTCATGGGTCTGTTGGCCTAGATATTAATCATTTCTGTTCTGGTGCTAGTGAAACATTTTGCTACATCTGGAAAAATGAGAGGACAAGTTGACCCATAGCACCTAGCTTACATGTTACATTTTGGGCACTGTTTACCTGTTGGCTGTATAGTTTCTGTCCCCTGCAAGAATGTATTGAGAGCAGGAATCATTGTTAATTTTTAAATTTACCATAATGCTAGGCACCTATCTGATTATTTAGTAGGTATATCTTATATTTATGTACTTGCTAATTAACTCCCAGCTTCTTCACAAAATGGATTTGTGCTCAGACTTGTTGAATTGATTGAATAAGGAGCAATATAATCTGTTCACACTCTGGTGTGCAGCTTGCCCCACCCAACCTAAAAATTAACTGAACTAACTCTCATTTAACTCTCACCGCCTTCCTTTGGTTAGAATCTATTTTGTCTCTCTTGGATTTACCTGCATATACATTGTATGCCTCCTCTCCAAGGTCAAAACCTGCTCCGAGGTGGACGAGCCGTAGCTCCCCGAATGGGCTTAAGAAGAGGTGGTGTTCGAGGTCGTGGAGGTCCTGGGAGAGGGGGCCTAGGGCGTGGAGCTATGGGTCGTGGCGGAATCGGTGGTAGAGGTTAGTCAGCTCCAACTTCAGAGAATAGCGCTCCCCCTTACTTCTCTCCCTTCAAAACTCAGAGCCACCTTTCTGCACAGCTTCAAGTCAGGCAGGCTTATTTGTTTGTCTTGTTTTGTTTCTTGAAACTGGCTTATTTTCTAATTTCACATGCTAATAGTATAAAAGTCTGTACTTGGGTTTTCCACGAGCCTATCAGGTGTATGTTACAGAGCCAGAGAGGATGGTGAGACTGAAGCTGGATATTGACTCTGAAACCAAGTAAATTCAGGGTAAAGTTTGTGTCTTTGGGAAAACATGACTTTTTTGATGAGGGTAGAAAGTAAGAGGGTGTCATGTCAGTTAACTAACTGACTCTTGTTTTTAATCTCACCTTTAAACTTGGTAATATTTGTCTTAGGATCTCATGACCCAGGTTGAAAAAGGATTAACGGTGTTGCTATTATTAATGCCAAATCTCATGGGAGTTTTCTGAGTTAGAACTCACTGGAAAACGCCCAGCAACACCTGTTGAGGGTGGGAGGTTCTAGTTTTATAACTCCTGTGTATATTTGCTTTTGTCTTTTTAAAGTATATGGTGAGTCTTCCATAATTTATGACTGTAAAATTACCAAGGGATAAAACAGGAAAGGAAAATCTGATCACTGAGGGCTTGTTTTCTTCTCTCCCATTATATACTATTTGGTTTGAGTGAAGTGCAAGCTAGTTTGGGTTTCAGGATGAAATAGCATGTTTCCAAATTATCTTGACTTGGTTTCTGAAAGAGAAAGGGATAGGGCAGTCTAAAATAGCTTTTCAGAAAACTGGGCATGTTTTGTAAAGTGATTTGAAACCACCTCTCAGATAACCATAGTTGTCAGAAGGTGACTAGAATCAAAGATAGAAATGGCTAGGGACTTAAAATTTTTTTCCCCATCTCCCATATTTTGTTCCTGTGTCAAAATAATTCCTCAGTCTCCTTGACATTCGGTCAGCTCATTAGGCTTGATAAATTTGAGGAGAGATGAGCTAATTTTCCATAAGGATCGCCCATAAAGCATAGTTTGAAAATGGTCTAGCTTGGCACCCCCATTTTCCTGTGCCCTTATTACTTCCACCCTCACTAAATTGGGTTATCTGTATTATATTTTAATTATGAACTTACAGTGGTTCTTAAACTTTAATTTCTTTGCTATAGGAGAGATTAAGATTTTTTTTTTGTCAGTTAATTTCCCTTTGTTGATAAAATAAAATTAAATAGCATTTAGAGATGAGCATGTTATTAAGGGATTCATTGTGTGTGCTTTCCATGTGTTGCTTTCTACCCGGTGTGTTTGTTTTTCCAGATTTCTCCTCTCTGCCCTGCCCTTCAGCCTTTCTCAGCTAGTCCTCACTGCTTTAAAGGGCATGGGGCATTTACCTTAGCACCCGTTAAACTTACTTGTAACTGTCTTTTTTTCTTTTTCCCTTGGGCCAGGTCGGGGTATGATAGGTCGGGGAAGAGGGGGCTTTGGAGGCCGAGGCCGAGGTCGTGGACGAGGAAGAGGTGCCCTTACTCGCCCCGTACTAACCAAGGAGCAGCTGGACAACCAGTTGGATGCGTACATGTCAAAAACGAAAGGACATCTGGATGCCGAGTTGGATGCCTACATGGCACAGACAGATCCCGAGACCAATGATTGAAGCCTGACCAGCCTCCTGTGAGAGACTCATGTTAAAAGTCACCACATATGTAAATAGCCTTGAGATAACAGAGGAGGAACAACCTGATTGATGCTGGAAGGACTTGTCACAATAGGCTATGGACTGACTTGCCACCAGTTTGCGCATTTAGTGTGTTTGTTTTACTTTTTTGATACTGTGTTGTATGAAACCCTTTTTTCTTCTGACTTGGTTTTGTTGTTTGAAATTTTGTTTTCCTTTGCCCAGATTTCTCTTTGAACATGAATATGTTGACCTTGTGGCTTAGTATCCCCACTTTCAACCTCCCCCCCCCCCACCTGTCACTCTCTTCATCTCTGCACCCCCTGAAAGTGGCGCAGAAAGAGCCCATCAGTGTTCCTCCCTGATGGCTAGGCCTCTGAGATACAGTTCTGTTCTGCATCCTCTTTAACATCTTCGTAGAAGTGTTTGGAAAACCTGGAGCTCAAACATGTGTTCTGCCACATTGACATTGTAGTGAATTGGGGACCTTGATGCAACTACTGGGCCCCATAACGAGTTACACATGGTAGCAGATCTGAACTGATTTGATTAAGTTACTACCATGTACACTGATAACCACCTAACAGTGGCTGGGTTGGGTTGTGTACTTTCTAAGCCGAAATAAGATACATACGCTTTCTTGGTTTTGCGTCATGTCCAAAGGGGTAGTGCTGGGTTCGTTTACACCTACAGTAAGAAAGCAAAAAGCCATTTGGCTTGTCAGATGCTTCAGAAGAGAATGGCATGGGAGAATGGTGGCAGACTTAACGGGGGTGGCACTCAAAAGATAACCAAGCTAAAATGTTGTTATCCTATGTTTATCCCAAACCCCTCTTGGGCTTCTGCAGTCATTGGCTTTGTTTGATGCTCATTTTTCCCTTAAAGGTTTAAGTTCAACCATCTTCTGTCAACTGTTCAGTTTCAGTGGAATCTTGTATTTCTGGTTCATTATAACAAGAACTTGTTCTCTCAAATCCAGCCAGGACTTTCTCTTTATTTGTTGGGCTCTTTGAAATGCTATGGCAACTTTATCTTAACATAACTCTTTGTAGAGTTGAAAGTACCTGTCTTTGTAATGATACTGAAATTTGGGGGTTGGGAGAAGATGTTGCTTTGGGGCAGAAAGTGAAGAGTCTGCCTTTGAGCAAGCGTTGTAGAACGATGAGTAACCACGCAATGTAATGGGCAGACTTGCTTTGGCCCATAAGCCCAAGCATGATGGTCTTAGACACCTGGATCCCGGTACTGGTGTGCTTCCCTGTTCTCTGTAAGGGCAGAGTGGCACCTCATTACTTCAACCAAACCAGTTGCCCTTGAGCTACTTAGCACCCTAACCAACAGGGAGATTGTGCTGGGGTTGGGAAGGAAATTTTAGGAGCATTTGAATCCCGGGCAACTTAATCTTTGATTTGTGAAACAAATGTCTTAGTTCATCCTGCAGACGGGAATACTTGAAAACACCAAACAGAATCTTGCTGATAGGATTTCTAAGTTTGTCCTGTACTTCCTCATCAAGAATGGAATGTGAGGTTAGAGGTTTTTTTAGCCCAAATGGGTGTTTATAACCTTTTAATTGGAGGGAGTAAGAAGAGGAATTGGTTTTGGTTTTTTTAAGGAAGGGGCAAGGCCACAAGTTTTAAGGGTTCCTTCTTAGGCACATCCCAGACTCAGGTCTGCCTCCAAGGATTCTTTAGAAGGAGATGCTGATTGGCAGTGGGCAGGTTCTCCTGGCAAACCTCTTAACCTGCTGGTTGCTGTGCAACAGGTACTCCAGGGCATCTGGGAGGAAAGCAATCGAGTGAATGAAATCGTAACCCTGCAACCATGCTGCCTGGGATGCGCCATCCTGGTTGACACAGTCCCCAGTCCTTACCTTCCCAGATGCTTAGCTCATTCCCCAAGATGGCTAGTTGGCAAGCGCCCCCCAAAGCCCCTTTCACCCAGTCCTTCCTCTTGGGTGATTTTTACACTTGGTAGCTTTTGAGCCACCCTGCTGTAGCACTACCTCACAGTTCGCTGACATCCTCTATGTACATGAAAGGGGCAAGGCTTTTGGAGTACTGGTCAGGAAAGGGCTGCAACGGGGCAGGAGCCACAGCGGGCCCTCTAGTAGTAGTTGTCCTATGTAACATCCAAGTCCTCACAGCCCATGTCTCTCTGGTTCATAGATCACCCCAGAAGCTTTTGATAAGGTACCTGGGTAAAACCAGTGTTGAGGTGGTTAAAATGGGGGGGCGGGGGGACAGTGGGGGAGGCCTACAATGGCAGTATATCTGAACTCCCCCAATGGGATTACTTTGCCGGGTCCATTTTAGAAGGCCAAAGAAAGTGGAGCTGGGACCATAATAACTGGGTCCTTTGAAAAGGGGGGGCTTCCCAGGGTGTTTGGTGTGTCAGCCGCACCCTCTTCTAGGTCAGCCTCCAGCTCAGTCTTCCCCTACTCAGGTTGCTTCCCATCCCTCCCCACCACCTCAGTGCTCTGAGTGCCCGCAGGCAGCTGTCCCACAGCCTGTACATCCATTTCACACTGGCCCACCTTGCAGTGCAGTGACTGCTCTTTCTAGCATCTGGGTTAGTCTTCACTACTTTGAAAATGCCAAGGCCGTACCTGGTGGTCAGGAGACCTTGAGGCAACCTGGCAGAAGTGGGACTGGAGGCCTCCCTCGTGGCACCCGTGTTAAGAAGCAACCTTACGAAGCTATCTGCAGCCCACTGCAGCACAAGTTTGATCCCTGGCCAGGGAGCTACCCACATGGCGCAGCAGACCTCTCCTGACTTGGCCACCTCTCCCCTCAACAGTATTCCAGTCAGTCTGCCTGTTCTGTTCCCCACCCTGTCTCTGGTGAATCCTCTCTCACACACACACCCCCACACCTCTGGCCTGTACCCCAGTTTCTTGTATACATACATAAATCTTTAAAAAAAATAATGTGAACTTGGGCAGGAATTTAGAAGGTCCCAGTAAAGATGGGCACAAGAGCCTAAAGCCCCTTCCCTTTCTGTCTCCTCTATGTCCCTTCCCCATCTTGAAAGAATTCATTCCCAGCAGGGGTCACAAGTCCATCCCCATCATCACAGGCCCTGTGGACCCACCTGCTGTTCATCAGTTTCCAGTGTCCCCTGAGGCCTTGTGCCCACAGTGCTTGGTGAACGTCACAGGTAGGACAAGGAAAGTTAGGCCAGCTTCTGGGTCAGCCTTTCGGGTATCAGCCACCATTTGCCACGGACTTGCCATGCATACATGAACAAGAGAATATTGCTTGTTAGAAGGATGCTGGGAGCACATAGTTCGACAATCTGGATCTTGAAATTCAAGGGAAAGTTTTACAGAGAAGGGGGGATAATATTCTGAGGAGAGTGAGCATTGAGTGCAAAGGTAGAGACCTAAAAGAGCATGTGTGCCAGGGCAATTGAGTGTTCAGGGGCCTCCAATGTGGGATGGCAGACAAAGCTGATAAGATACTAGTAGGTAGCCTGAAGTTTGCTAAGGAGCTAGGACAACACTTTGGGCAGGGGGAATCATTGAGGATTTTACACAGTGCTGTGGGGTGGCTTACCCAGAATACTCTGAGAGGTGAAGATGGACTATTGCGAGAGACCATGAAGGTAGGAAACATGAGGGCTATGGGTTAGTTAAAAAGGCCTGAGGGGGGCCTCCCTGGTGGCCCAAGGGGTTAAGATACAACCTATGAAGCTGTCCGCAGCCTCTGCAGCACGAGTTCAATCCCCTGGCTGGCCAGGGAGCTACCCACATGGTGCAGCAGACCTCTCCTGTCTCGCCTGTTGTTCCCCTCAGCAGTGTACTTAGGTCAGTCTTCCTGTTCTGTTCCCCACTCTGTCTCTGGTGAATCCTCTCACTATCACCCCCACACCCCTGGCCTGTACCCCAGCTCTTGTATGCATAAATAAATAAAATCTTAAAAAAAAAAAAAAAAAAAAAGCCCTGAGGGCCTCCCTAGTTAGGTCTCAACACTATGAAGCCATCAGCAGCCACTGCAGTATGAGTTCCATCCCCAGCCAGGTTGTTTGCCCGCTGCTCCCCTCAGCAGTGTATTTCAGTCAATCTGCCAGTTCTGCTCCCCACTCTCTCTGGTGAATCCTCTCACCATCCCCACACACACACACCTTTGGCCTACACCCCAGTTCTTGTATGCATAAATAAATAAAATAATCTTTTTTTTTTTTTTTTTTAAAGGGGCCTGAACCTGGTAGTGACAGTGTGGATGGGGAGATGGCCGCACCCTCAGCATTCTCCTAGTTAACAGTTATCCCATATCTGAGATGTCTGTCAGAAGAGTCTGTCAGATCTTGAGCAACCACACAAGAGAAAGTAGTCATGTGCTGCTTCCTGGTTTGCTCTTGCTCTTTCTCCCTGGTGCTCTGTGTGGTTCCATGATTCTTGAACTGTTAACTTACTGTCCAACCCAGCAGCTACCCACTCCCTGTGACTTCATGCCCTAGACAGAGCCAGACCTCCAAGCAAGAAGGGCTGACTAAAGACAAGGCTCCTGCCCCCTTACGTCCAAGTGCAGTGCCTTCTCACTCCTCCAGGCTCCCTGGGCCTTGTCAGTAGTTGCAGCTAATACCCACCCACAGCAGCTGAGCAGCATCTATACCAGCACTATAAGTGGGGCAGCCCTGGGAAAGAAGCTGGGCTGGGAGACTGGGATCTGAGGAGAGGGCCCAATCCGGCCTGGCCTGTGTCCCCTTTCCTGTACCTGAGCCTGTCCCAACCCACTGCAGCCCCAGCCCCCTCACTCCCTCTCCCACTGATTCTCCAGGCAATGTGTGAGGACAACAGTGCCCAAGTCTGCATTTCCCTGGGCTCTGGGGGGCCCCTTAGGACTTACCTGTTCTCTCTCCCCAAAACATACAGACACAGCTGCCGCAAGGGGACATATTGTCTGGTTTCCCACCCCAGACCTTCCCTAGACACTCCAACCTCTTAATAATCTCCAAATCTCCAGGTTCCTGGCATTCTATCTCCAATTTTGAAACTGTGATCTGACCAGGCATGCTGCAGACTTACTCGCTGACCCCATGGCCCAGGGCAAGGCGGGCAGAACAGAGGAATATTGTGAAATAGGTCAGCATCACCCCTGAAGCTGGAGACTGAGGCCCAGAATGCCTTCAAGACCCATGAGGGTGGCAGGTGTCTCCAGTCATGACATTTTTTTGTGGGGAC